ATTATTTAAATCTAAGTTATTTATAATAAACCTGTCAGATAAAAATCTCCATCTTCAATTTTGATTGTCAGTTTTTCTTTGTATGAAAAACGTATTTACTTTGTAACTTTGGTTGCTTCGATTGTCTTGGTACTAATATTATAATGTAATAATAATACCTGCGAAATTGGTGGCAATTCCTTAGACTACCAGCTGGTTTGATAGTTTGCTAGAAGGACTCACCGAACTCACTAAAAGCTGTTGTACTCACAGTTATGGTGTACTATATTGAATAGAAACAGATTAAAGTCAGCCAAGGGAAGGCTGGTCCAGGAAAGTTCATGAATGGAGTGTGCAGTTGTCTTTTTCAAGTCGAGTCGTGGTCATCAGTGATTTTCCTGGCAATGGTGTGAGACAACCAAGGAATCTTACCCAAGCCTTGGTGTGCAGAATTTTTACTGAGGCTCGTTATATAGACACAGTCAACTGCCCCAATGGCTGATCTGTCCAGTCCCTCTGGAGGTTGAGCTTATACTGAGTGACCAAAGCTCTCACCATAAATCACAGTTAGGTTACCTTTTTGTTATAATCTGTATTCTCTTTGAGTGGAGTATTTCATATACAGTTCAAGGGTTTTTTTTTTGTTTTGTTTTGTTTTTCTATTCCAGTCAGGTATACAATAATAGTTATTACCCTCTTGTATGATCTTTATTTATCTTTTTTTTTTTTAATCCTCACCCGAGGACATTTTTCCAGTTTTTGTTCAGATAGAGTGGGAGGGGAGAGAAAGAGAAACATCGACGTGAGAGAGACACATCGAGTGGTTGCCACCCACACAACCCAACCAGAGCCGGGGACAAACTGCAACCGAGGTACGTGGTCTTAGCGGGAACCGAACCCGGTCTCTCTGGACCGCAGGCCGACGCTCTAACCGCTGAGCCAAACCGGCCAGGGCTTTATTTATCTTTTAAGTTTTAATTCTGTGGTCAGTTATTTTTCTTGTGTGTATCCGAGTATTTTAATTAGAACTTGACAAGAAGTGTCTGGCATAATTAATCTGCCCATGTTAATCTCAGTATGTTTATTACAGTTTTTGTTTGTTTTGTTTTACTATATCCTACAAAATATTTCCAGCAGCTACTTCACTTTTTCATGACTGTCTGTCTCTCTGCCAAGTCTTCCAATCCCTTGAAGTCTTGATGAACCATGGTTTCCTACCAGCTACGGCTCAGAGCAGTGCTACCAGGTTACACTGTTTGTGGAGCTTCTCATAGCAGTAAAGGCCTTCACTTCCTCAGTGCCATCTGAGTGTCACCTTGGTTTCAGTGACCATTTCCCTGACTGCCCCTTAAACTTACCACCTGTACATTCACTGATTTTAGTGTCAAGTCCAGCATTAGCACTGTTCTTCTTGAGGCCAACTATGGACCAAAACCATGAGTTATTTCTTTTTATTATATACTAAATAATACCAGAATAAAGAGGTCAAAGCAGAGTAACTAAACACATGTTGCTTAATACATGATTGGCCCTCCTTTCCTTGTTTTATTGCTGCTACTCTAGGTGGTTTGAGCCATGCTGATGTGGCACATTCTGTTGTTAGTATCTTTTATGTATGAAGATAATCTAGGCAGGTATGGTTATATAAGACCCAATCATGTAAGTGAGAATCCTTTATACTGGTTAGTCTTGTATGTAATAGTTGTAATCATATTATTATTTGTTTTTTTCCAATATAACTGATGAAAGAAAGGATTCTCATATTATCTAAACAATTTAAATATCATTTGTATATGTTTAGCCACTCAAAAATTTGGTAGAATAAGAAGTGGAAGCCAAATGTTTGAAAAGCTCTTTATAAATTTATTAATACATCTTACCCAAACCCTTCCTAGTTTTTTATTAAGTATTATACTCAGAGGTTGGCACATGGGCCACATTAGGCCCTATCCCTTCTTTGTACAGGCCCAGAAGGTAAGCATGGCTATGTTTTTCAAGGTGTTTTTTTTTTTGGAGAAGAAAAACAATTTATAGAGGCCCTATGTGGCCCACAAAGCATAAAGTATTTATTGTCTGGTTCTTTATAGAAATACTTTTTCAATCTCTGACCTAGTTTGAATATTCTCATGTTACACAGGCCAGTAGTAACATAGTGTGATTAGAGTATGTACACCACAGTGTACCTGACACTGAACCCTTACAGTCATTGCCTATACACCCATGTCATTTCTTAGTGCCTCATTTAATAATGGCATCATATAAATGCATGGACAAAGAGTATGATAATTTTGATTGAAATTTTCCCATTTGATATCTACATTTTACTAGAGAGTTAAATGAATCAAATAATTTTAGTGAGCCAATAGGCATTCTTTCTAGAACTCTGATTTTTCTTTGAATAGAACTTTTATATATATACTTTTTTAGTTTCCCAAATATAAACTTATGGTATTCAACTGCTTCAAGTTTCAATAGATTAGAAATAACAAACCTGTGATCATGTACCAGGTTGCTTATTGAGTTATACTATTTAAAAATGTTTTCAGAGAAAATAAAAGGTCAAGTGAACCAGACATTGGGTTATTTGATTTAATTTTCTGGAAAATAGGATTGTCTTTATCAGATCCCGTGTCTCGGTCCTCCTGCTCGGCTGACAGCTTGACAGTGGCTCTGCTGTGGTGGAGATGGTTGGCAGGAAGCTGCTTCGTTAGCAGGAAAGGGCTGCAAACTGAGCTGGGGGGAGCCACGCTCACCTTGTCTTGACCTGATCTTGACCTGATCAGTGATGGGTTTTGCTAGCAACAGAAAATGTGGCTGCATGATTTCCTTTAATGCTAATTTTGACTTAGAAAAGTAGTATTTGAAGTAGGGCTACTAGAAGATGTAATGTTTCATTGCCATGGACAAACCAACTGCATGTAGTGTCTGCTTAGCACATGTAGTGAATGCCGATTGCTCTTTTGCAGCCTGGCCTGTTAGAAAATCACAGCAACATTTAAATAAATTGTTTGAGCAGATTTGCTGGTATTGAACATGGAAGTCTTTCTAGTTTTGCTTTATAATATTTGGGCATCTTTATCTTCTTAAAGATAGGGAAGCTTTTCCATTTAAATTATGTACAAGTTAAGGTTAGGCTTTGATATTTACAAATATTTTATGTTATCATTATCATATAATCTAAATTTGAAACATTAAAGAAATAACTTTTTTTCATTCCTGAGTCAACCAAGAAACTAAAAAAATATAGTGACTGATTTTTTTCCCCAAATGTATTTTTCAATGTGTTTCTTTAAGAGAGAAGCAGTCTATTTTAGAATGACAAACAAAATTTGAGGTTGTTTATGAAAAGAAGTATAAAAAAGGACAAGATCAGTATTAGAAACTAATTAAAACAAGCAGAGAAATAGATATTATCATGCATTGAGAATAATTTTATACCGCATATAAGTACTAAATTTGACCCAGAAATGAATAGTAATTTATTAAACAAATGGTAATTTAGTAAAGACATACACTTTTCTTTTTTTTTTTTGCTTAGACATACTTTCTTTCCCAGATATCTGCCACTCATGACTGGTGGGGTCGAGGCAGTAAGTTTCTTTTAGGAAAGAGTTTGATGCTCTATTTGAATGTTAGAGAATGGTTAACATAAGAGTAATGTTAGCGTTCAGTGTACTGGCTGTGAAGCCTGTGGAGTTACACATCTTGCATTTGAGTTTTTGCTAGAGCAAATTATGTGAAAGTATAAAATTCTGGGTGTTTTAGCAGCTATTATTATTATTTTTTTCTTCTTTTTTTTAATTAATTTTTTTTTGGTACGTGCCCCTAGCAGGAACTGAACCCGGGACTCTCTGGTTTGCAGGCCAACGCTCCAACTGCTGAGCCAAACTGGCCAGGGCTAGCAGATATTATTTTTGAGAGAGGTCCTTTCATTGCAATTGAATGTAGTTTCCAACTGACATAATAAGTCTATAATTTTCATTTTACAGATGTGAAAACAGAGGCTTAAGCAGTTGATGCTATTTACCCATGAATATGAGCAGTATGGGGTGAAGATTTTTGTCCTGGGATCAGACTGCTTGATTCAAATTTTGGGATTAGCTTTTGACCTCAGTCAATTTACTTAATTTTACTGAGCCATGGTTTTGCCATCTGTGAAATAGAAATAATATTACAATATACATCATTGGCCTCTTACAAGGGCAATATGCATTAGAAACTTATAGTGCTTAACTTACAGTCATGGCTCAATTAATGTTTGGCTTGCTATTTTTATTATTTTATTATGTCACAGTTTTGAATTTGAAATTGTATTTGGTCATTTTGTTTTGAAAATTTCCTTAGTGCTTCATCTAAGCTTGATTTGCTCTGTTTAAAACCTCCCCTCTTCGACAGGCAAAACAGTTTTAAAATATATAATATTAAGTGACCCTAATAACCTTTGTAAGAATTATACATACATATATCAGTAATAGCAAAAAACTTCAATGTAATTTGTACATCCACGAATTGATATATTGGTAGATGTTAATAGATGTTTCTTTGGAACTTTGAGTAAAATAATTATAGTATGAATAAAACGTGAATAATATGTGTTTTGCCATGTTATGTCCCAGGTTGAAATGAAATATTTTTACTTTGATATATTTCAAATAGTAGTATTTCTGTTTTGCAGATGGTGAACTAAGAAATAAGTGTGACTTGCCCTTTACCAAATATCAAAGATTACTTACTTAAGTCTCACTTTTCTTTTGTAATGCATCTGGTGTTACCATTCAACATTGAGGATCACATGATTATGTGTATAATGTACTGTTTTAATAGTGTGAAACTATGAATAATTTAGACTGGTGTCTGCTGATTACTTTGCTGAATTTATGTGGGTTTTGCACATTTCTGCTTCTTTCCACCAGTGAAAATAATATGATCATTTTGAAAAGCTGTTTAAAAAATGTCATTTTGATGTAATGTATTCCCACCCATTTAAAGGGCCTAAATTTTAACTACACATTTTGTCATAGCCATCCATCAGAAACTAGAAGCAGATGGAACGGAAAAAGTAGAAGGATCCATGACGCAAAAACTGGAGAATGTTCTGAACAGTAAGTTTTGTTCTACTACCCAAAACCATTTTTGGACTTTTATAACAAGCTTTAATACAGTTCTTGGATTTTGTTTCACAGAACAAGGCAGTAAGTTGCATTTTAGTATTTACTTCTAAGTAGTAATTATTTAATGAACATAAGGGGAATAAAACCATTGAAAATGAATGTCTTTTTTTTTTCCATTTTATTTATGAGAAGTCATAATTTGAAAATAAGCCAATATACTTCTTAATAAGTAAAATTTGCCACCATAAAAGAGACCAGTATATAAATAGCATCATCAAAGACAGAAAAGCACAGAGGCAATCCAGGATTTTTATTGACCAAAAACCTGAAAACGCATCTTCACGTGTCTACTAGTATTAATGCAAATAATATCAGCTACTAGAATAACAGATACTTAGGTGTCACTTATTTATTTATACCTGGCCTTTTTCCAAAACAAATTTAAGGCAGCTGCATATTTAAGACTGTTTCTAACTAAGACATTTTGTAAAAACTATAGGCCCAGAGAAACTGACATATGCAAAATTTGGAGATCCACCTCCCTTGATATCTTTTTTCTGAGATACTTAGCTCTCAGGTACTTACAATATTGATTTGGAAGAAACTCATCAGATGAATCAATTCCTGTTATAATACTAATGGGTTAAAAATAAACTATCCTCTTTCATGCATATAGTAAATATTTGACAAGGCACAGTAATGCCCAAAGGAATCTACTTGTTTGTTAAATAAGTATAGTCTTAACCTTACCATAGTAGGGTGAAGAATAACTAAAGAAATTAAGAACCATCTCATTCATCAGATCTTTAGTGATTCTATGAATACAGAGCTGTGGTATCAAGTTAGTTTTTGTACTTCTAGCTTAATTTATTTCCATGAATAGTTTACTGAGTTATTTTTAAAAAATTTTTTTAAATAAATGTCTGTTCATAAACCTGGGGATCTCTGATAAGAATGTATTTTTTAGAAGAAGTTTTAATTTGACATAGGCTTTCCTTGGTAGTAAAATTTGAGTACTTAGATTTCCTCTTAAAAATTTGAGTTTCACAGCACTTTAAATGCTTTTTCCTCTGGTTGTTCTTATTATTTTGCCTTGTTTTTGTCTGAGAACCATGTCACCAAATTGACTGAAATGAATATATTCTAAATTCAACCCAAATAAACATTTACTAAAGCTATTTCTGTATTAGCATAGTCAGACATATGTCTTGGAAAGATGTTTTCACTACAGAAATTGTCATTAAACCATGATATCTGTTTTTAAAAAAAGTGAGATTATTTCATTAACTTTTCAAAGGTGATTTGTAAGGACACGCTGACATGGTAAGTATATCATTGTTACCAGTAAAATAAAATAGATACTTGTTAAGGTTTTGAAAAGATTAAGATCCATTTCAAGTGTTAGGTTTAGCATAGTGTGTTAACATAATTTTTTTCTTTTAAGTAGTAGTTTAGGAAATCCTCCCTTCGCACTTGTGGTACAAAATTTGTAAGGGAAATCATTTTACTTCTATTCCTTTATAACCACAAACCTTTTCTAGAAATGTGTCATACTAACTTTCTACTGAAATTTGCTCTTTTTGAATGAAGTTGTGCTTAACATAAATAAATGGTCACTTTATGAGATTCTCCTTCAAGACTTTCTGGTGTAATATTTTTCTTAAAATAAAAATTCCTTTATAACAGTGCCTTTTTTCCTAGAAACATGTTTATCAACTTGATGTTTACTATCTAAAGTTTTGCAAATTCAGTTTGACTAACATTTATTTAAGACTGGTTGTGGAGACATACCCTGCTCAATCCAGTGTGGGGTACACAGCTCAGAGAGAGTTGGCTCCAGCCCTGTGAGCATGTCTTCTGCCCAGACAGGTGTGTCCTAGTTACTAAAGTCTGGGGAATCAGATGAACAATTATAGAAGTACTATGGAAAATTTAATTCGTTTTCTTTTGGACAGGAAGGAAGGATCAATGAGTATGAATGCAGTTTAATTTGCTTAGATTATTATTAATGCTTCAATTTTGTGTATAATTGTATGCTAATTTACATGCATTTTTCTTGAGTTATTTTAAATGAAAGTTTAAAAAATGTGGGCAGCCTTTCTCACTGTTAAATTAAATTTTAACTATAAGAAACTTAGTCAATTTTATTCAGAATTTATCAGTGCTGAAGCCTTTCATTGAAATTCTTTTTTTCCCCCCACTGTCATGTGTTTTTCCGATTTGCCTTTTAACTTAATAATTTTTTCTTGATTTCAAGCAAGTGATAATAGTGATGACTATGATTTATATCACATTTACATATCCAACTTTATTTTCTTACGTATTCCAAGAGTATAGAGCAGCATTATCTGATAGAACTTCTACAGTGATGGAAATGTAACTATTGAGGACTTAAAATGTAGCTAGTATTGCTGAGGAATTGAATTTTTAATTTTTTTTAACTTTAATTAATTAAAATTGAAATAGCCCCATGTGGCTAGTAGCTGCCTTTTGGACAATGGGAGTATAAACAATGTAATATAAATATTTATAGTAGAAGCTATGGTAGTGATAGCTAAAACATTTGCAGTGTTCAGTAAGGGTCAAAACATTCTGTATTATCTGGTCCGCACAATAACTTTATGAAGTTTGTACTGTTATCTCTCTTTTATTGATGAAAAAAGTAAGTGGTAGAGTTGGGATTTATGTGTAGAAATTTGGCTCCAAATTTGTACTTTAAACCACAGATTGCATGGGCTTAAACCCTTGCTGTGCATGGGTTTGATATGCATTAATTTCAGTTACCTCATTTCAATTAAATACACCTATTCCCCAAAAACACAGTTCAAATTTCAGTTACCACAGTATATTTGATATAATTTCATAAAGTACAAATTCAGATGCTGGCTCTTCGGATGTGCAAGTGATCAGTGACCAAGTGTCTCTTCTGAGTCTATCGGTGACTGGTCACTGCACATGTGTTATCAGTTCACACACAGACATCAAAGTGGGCAGTTGTGCAGCTTCCTTGTCTCCCAGAGATAAACTCACATGACATTTTAAAGAAATGGATAAATAAAAGAGGGTATTGGCCCACAGAGATGAAAATGCATCAGGAAACAAGTGATAACTCTAAGTAAAATTCAAATCTAACATGACTGGAGTTACAGAAAAAGTAGCTGACTGTGGGGATGTGGACACTACTACTGTTCGAGAGACTCAAGTTGTGCAGCTGGAGGAACTCAGTGATGGTGACTGTATTGAGGGAATGAGGAAAGTGTGAAGAAAAAGATTTAGATGTTTTATAGGAAGTGATACCGAAAGGAATACTGGGAGTAATCCATGACATTGAAAGTACAAAGGATAAACTTAGAAAGGAGTATGACAATGTGTCAAAGCATAGAAAAGGTGCTAGATACATATAAATTTTACGATGAAAAAAACAAGACAGGCAATCTTGATACATTTTTTAAAAAGAAAGAACCCTTGAATTTTCCATTTCTAGTGCTCTAAATAATAGTGTACAGAATAAATAGTTTTACCACTTTTTAATATTCTTACTCATTTATAACCAGCAGTAAGTTTTTAATGTTTCAACAAAATTTTTAACAGTCAAGAAAAATCATTATTTTTTTTCATTGGTTATTAACATTGTTCAGTTTCAGCTGCACTGTCATTTGTACGGTTCTGCACACCACGCAGAGTGAGGCTTGGACGGCCTCTACCACCCAGGTAGAAAGAGTACTGAGCACTGGTTTAGAGTCAGATGTTTAGTCCTTGCTCTGTAAACATTTATTGAGCCCCTATTAGTTCTATGCCACGGATATGAAGATAAAGCGAATGCTTTACTTCTCAGAGCGTATTGTCTAATGGACAATTCAGACAAGAGCTAGACTAGATTTACCCTGGACTGGAAGAAGCCCAGTAGAGGTACAGTTGTAAGAGTGAAGTGCTGAGGATTCTTAACCAAAGCAGAGTTGATGAAGATAGAGTGAGTGACACATGGGAGATGCTAAGGAGATGAGGAAGGCAGTATTTGGTCAGTGGTTGGTGTGAGAAGGAAAAGGAAAGTCAGTGATGACTTCCAGATTTCTGGCCACAACTGGAGGAAGAAGGAGCAGGTTAGTGTGCAGTGACGCAATGACTTTTCTTCCCATCTTCTCCCCTCCAGCTTTATTGAGATGTAATTGACATATAACATTGTGTACAATATGCTGACTTGCTTCACTTTTATATTGCAGTATGATTACCACCTTAACTTTAGCTAGCACCTCCATCACGTCACGTAATTCTGGTTTTGTTTTGGTTGTTTTAAACCTCATCTGAAGATATTTTTTTATTTATCTTCAGATAGAGTGGGAGGGAGAGAGAGGGGAGAGAGAGAGAGAAGCATAGATGTGAGAGAGACATATCAACTGGCTTTCTCCCGCACGACCTGACTAGGGCTGGGGATGAACTGCAACTGAAGTATGTGCCCTTGACTGGAATCGAACCCATGACTCTTTGATCCATGAGCCGACACTCTAACCGTTGAGCCAAACCGTTGAGGGCCCATTTTATTTTTAGTGGTGAGAACATTTGATATTTACTCTTAGCAACTTTCAAGTATATAGTATTAACTAGATCCCCATAACTTTCTTATCTTCTTACTGGAAGTTTGTACTTTTATCAACATCTCTTCATTTCTCCTACTCCCTGTCCCTTAGCCCCTGGTAACTACCATTCTACTCTCAGTTTCTAGTAGTTCCCTATCTTAGAGTCTTTATGTCAGTGATACCATGCAGTATCTATCTGTCTCTGTGTCTGACTTAGTTCATTTTGTATAAAGTCCTCAAAGTCCATCCATGTTGTCCCATTTTACTTATACTGAGGACAATTTAATTGTTCAGTCAGCCCAACTATAACAGTGTCAGCCACAGTGTTGTTATACCAGCATTGCTGTTTGTACTTGGGGTAAATCTGTAACTGAGATGATGACAATCACTCTCCAGTGAGCTGGTGTTGAGAAAGGACCAATTTTCAGGTCTAGACTTGCCCAGGGCTGGTAGTTGTAAGATCAGGATTTGTTCTGCAAACTACAAGACCCAAGTGATGGTTTTCGCAGCCATGTCATTCAGTTTTACAACCTGGATGTCCAAGCTTCTGCCAGCTGTCTTAAAAATGGTGTGTTTAGGTGTGAGAAGGTGGAGTGAGGATGTGGATGGATTGGTACTGAGGGGGATTGTTCTGTGATGACTAAGACTTCTGGCTTATTTGTGGTGTCCTTTGCATGTGAACAGTGCATGTTTAGTCGTTTCATTTTCTTTCAAAAATAATTTAATTTATTGAGGTAACATTGATTAGTAACTTATCTGAATTCCAAGTGTACAGATTTATACTGCAACATTGTGTGCTTCCCACCCAGTTTCATTTTCTTACTAAGTGGCTCTAGAGAATATAGACATAAAATGCATTTTGTGAGCTGCTGGTAATTTGTATTTATCTGCTTGCACAAATCTTTATTTCACTGCTCTTATTTATTTTATTACTGAATATAATTGTCTAGTTGTCAAAGACTTGTAAACGCCCAAAATTTTATTGTGAATGCCGTAAAATTCACAACAGGATAATAATTTATGGGCGGAAATTATCTATAAATTAAGATTATACTTTATAATTTCTCTGCATAAATTAAAATTCTCCATAAATACATACAGTTCTCTATAAATAAATGACAATTTGTAATTTCTGCCTATGATTTTTCTCTATAAAATGTTTCTATTTAAAAAAAAATTACAAGTGAATTTTCTACCTCTACTTGGTTTTCATACTTTTTAGAGGAGTTAAAATTGTTAGTTGATATTTTTTATTATCTTTAAAATAAGATGAGAAAAATCCAATTTTGAACTTTCATACATTTTGCTCTAAATTCTTTCATTGTATATTAAAAACGTGCCTAGGGATTTAATATCCACATCTCATACCTAAGTTATCAACCCTTTAAAAGTATTTAATATTTTTCATATATCTATTCATTTATGAAACCTCAGTTTATGAAGTTTATATTTTTATATGATTAAACAATTAATAATAATTCTTTTTGGAGAAAAAAATTTAACCCTAATCAGATTTGAAATATTCATTTAGCCACCATTATTATGTGGTTTAGTGGCAAGAAAAAAGTGTTTTTCTTATTTTATAGCAGAAATTTAGTATTCAGCGTTAAATAGAATGTGGCGAAAATAACTTTTAACAAAACAAAGTTTTTATATCAGACTTTTACAATTTCAACACAATTTAAACAATATTTAGATAAAACAATTATGTTACAAAGATGACTTTTAACAGGATCAGCCCACCCACACTGTGGAATGGAGAATATGGCATGTAAGCCACCCAGTGAGACTGAGGTAATTTTTTCATCTTGCTTAAAGTATAGTCACTAGACCAGATAATGTAGAAACTTTTTATGTGCAATGATCAAACAGCCGAAAACACTTTATCCTTTTTCTCCCCTTGTGGGTAATTAAAAATAATTCATACGTTGACGAAGTTTATTTTTGGACACAGATAAATTTTGCTTTGATAAAGCAAGTCTTTCATTACAGTGATTCATATAGTTTGAGGTCTTTTAGGTTAAAAATATATATATAATGTTCAGTTTGTATATAAAAGTATAAGAATTAGCTGATTTAAGGAATATTCATTAATGATAAAGTTTGTCATTTTAATACTTATGTAATTTTTTGTGCCTGCTACAAAAAGAGAGAATTTTATCAAGAAATAGGATTGGTTCTAAAATAATTGTTTTGAACAACTTTTCTGAAAAATATTTTTCTTGTTCTGTGTATTACCACATATATAGATATTGAATCTAGGGAATTTAGTGTACATGCATGTGCACATGTATATATATGTGTATTAGAGTGACTAAAGTAAATGTAGGTTCACATTAGAGAATTTTTGTGGGCCTGGTAGATATGCTTATTTTTAATGGGATACCATTCTTAACATAAGAAAACACTTAGAAGGCAAAATGGGAATTGTATTTTAGCAAACCATGAAGATCTCCCTTTAGAAAAAGTCTATTGAGTTTTAGTATACAGCTACAGTAGCAGTCTTACATTTTGTTTCTTTTGTCCAGTTATACATTTTCTGAATAAAATCAATTTTTACCTAAGTTTTTGTTTTTTCCCCTTTTAAAATAGGAGCAAGTAATACTGCAGACACATTGTTTCAGGAAGTATTAGGTCGAAAGGACAAGGCAGATTCCACTAGAAACGCACTCAATGTGCTCCAGCGATTTAAGTTTCTTTTCAACCTTCCTCTAAATATTGAAAGGAATATTCAAAAGGTAGAGTAATATTTATATACCTATGGTTATAGATGTCATAAATTTTAAAAATGTTAAGATGTTTTGTATCTTAACCACGTCTTTATTATTCTTTACTAACAGTCTCCAAAATATTTTTTTTTACTTTAAAGGGTGATTACGATGTGGTTATTAATGATTATGAAAAGGCCAAGTCACTTTTTGGGAAAACGGAGGTGCAAGTCTTCAAGAAATGTAAGATTTGTTTATTGCATTTAGATCTTCCTTTCCTTTTACAGGAAGAAGGTAGGATGTATCCTGCAAAGAATGTTACGTCCTTTTTTATTTTTTTTCATATGGTGCTCTTTTTAGAATGTAAAATAATTACTTTAAAAATAACTTAAAGCTTTTCTTACTTAGATGTAGTGAAAATGAGCAACCTCAGCTGTAGGTTTGGTTAGACTTAGATATTCTTTGCCACTTATTAACTGTGATGTTACAAATCTTTTTCATTGGAAATAATCAATTATAGTTATTTTATAGAGATAAAAACCTATATTTTAATCTTTCCTCTTTGGAAAGATCTATATATTTATGAATTCTAACATACATTAAAGTAAACTAAGCAACTTTTGAAATGATCTCTAATGCTAGGTACAGAAAATAAAACAATAAGAAAAGTCTAAAAATGCCCTTTATTAAAGTAAACTAAATAACTTGAAATGATCTCTTAAGCCAGGAACAGAAAATAAAACAATAAGAAAAGCTTAAAATGCCTTATGGTTATGCCTTATCAACTAGGAGAAATATCACAGGGCTTTATTAACTTTGTAAGCCTCAACTCCATAAGGACTCAGAAAACGTAATTTTATTTTTTATTGTAGTTAATTTACATTTAGTGAAATGCACAGACAAATGCACACACCCCTATAACTCACACCCCAGATAGAAACTTCCCTTGAGCCTCTTCTCGGTCAACCACTATAATACCCAAGGCAGCCATTGTTGTGCTTTGCATAATTTGCTCTTAAATTTCCATTCTGTAATCTTGTATATTTGCTCGTTTTAAAAAATAGATTATGCTGAAGTAGAAACACGGATTGAAGCTTTAAGAGAATTACTTCTGGATAAATTGCTTGAGACACCATCTACTTTACATGACCAAAAACGTTATATAAGGTAAACCTTCTGCAAGGATTTTCAAAAATCATCTATATCTGTATTATATTGGATACTTCATTTAACTCTTAAAGCTAATTTGGGGAAAATTAAGAGAATGATGAAATAATGAAAGGGAAAACACTTAGGAGTACCTAATGCAGGACACCAAAACCCTAGTATACTAATATATTTGCAAGTACTCACTCTTGAAGGGCAAGAAAATCCTGCCTGTTTGGGGAGAGGAAAATTAGCCTCATTACTTTGTCACTTCTCCCTCCTGCTCAACAAGAGCTTACCTAACCTAGTGGGATGATATGGGTGTTGCATCTTTGGGCACCCACAGGCCACAGGCAGGAGCTCCCTGTATGATTTAGAGTGTAACATTGTCACACTGTGTGGGAAATTCTTCATACCACAAGAATGGGTCATGGCTCAGCAGTAGAGAGAAAGGTTTTAGTCTTGAAAAGGAAATGGGAAACTAAAAAATAGCAGTAATACTGAAAGTGATGGAAATCACAGGGTATGATGAGAAGGCCATAGAAAGAAGCATTGTAGCATAATGGGAACTAGCTGTTCACTTTGGGTGACTTGAGTTTTCTTTTTCAGTTTATTCCTCTGTGAAATGGACATGCTAACATGGTTCATGTCTGAGGGTAGTTGTAAAACATAATCAAGACTACATCTAAGGCCCTGGCCGGTTTGGCTCAGCGGTTAGAGCGTCAGCCTGTGGTCCTGAGAGACCCGGGTTCAGTTCCCGCTAAGGGCACGTGCCTCGGTTGCAGTTTGTCCCCGGCCCTGGTCGGTTGTGCGGGTGGCAGCCACTCGATGGGTTCCTTTCACATCGATGTTTCTCTCTCTCTCTCTGTTCCTCTCCTCCCCCCCCCCCCCCTACCTGAACAAAAAATGGAAAAATGTCCTCGGGTGAGGATAAAAAAAAAAAAGAATACATCTAAGAATGTAATATAGCATCAGGAACATAATAAGTAGACAATAAATTACATGAGTGTATGTGTGGTGTGTGTATATAGATACACACACATGTATCTATATATAGTGTTTATATCAGGATTTGGAGACAAAGCATATAAATTTAAGCTATTATATCTATGATTTAAAAATATTTTCTACTGTCATATTTTTAATGTGATCTTATTCTCAGAATAAGCTTTTATTTCTCAAACTTAATACCCTCCTCTTTATTTAATGAAGTTTACTGAATAGGTAGTTATAAAATAATGGACTACATATATTCATGCATCTGGCTGTTGTTGCCATGTGACCATTGAAAATAATTCCCAGGTATGGACAAGAGGGTCTGGTCTGAAAGCTGCTGCTTGGTTGCACTTGTGGAGGGACCAGGGTCCACATTCAGACCTGTGTTCCCAGTGATGCAGGAGCACAGTAGGAGCATGAGCCATTGTCACTGTCAGGATATTTGCATTGCCCAAGAGGAAAGGAAGAGGAGGCTTTTGTCATGGAGTAGAAAACACTGAAATTGATTGCTGCCACTACCCCTTGTCTTCAGAGCACCTGGGCACCATGCTAGGTATGCTGTTTATCATTTCTAATCCTCCCAGCCTCCACATAGGGCCATTTGTATTATACCTAGTATACTAGTGAGGAGACTGAGCCTCTGGTAGTTTTTTTTTTTTAATCCTTACATAAGGATATGAATTTTATTTGTTTTATTGATTCAAGAGAGAGGAAAAAGGGGTCGGGGGAGAGGGGGAGAGGGAGAAAGGAAGAGAAACATCGATGTGAGAGGGAAACATGAATTGGTTGCCTCTCGTATACCTCTGACCGAGGATCGAACCCACAACCTAGGTATGTGCCCTGATCCAGAATCAAACCTGCAGCCTTTTGGTGTACAGGACAATACTCCAACCAACTGAGCCACCCAGCCAGGGCACCTTAGGTTTCATTGCTTGCTCAGCACACACAGCTGGTAGTAGGACTGCTGTTTGTCTGCTTTCAGAGCCTGTCTTTGCTTTTCTCTAAGCTACCTTCATAAAAAAGAATGTATTTGGGGATTTTTCTGGCTTGTAGAAATAAACTACACATTAGTTATCCAAGAACTTTTTTCCCCCACATATAAAGAAACAGAGTTGCAGGAATGTTAATCATCTTGTCCAGGATACAGTTGGTTAATGTTTTGTCTGTGTTCGCTAATTATGCTTTGTATTTATTTTTACTGTTGACATTTATTCTGTTAAATTTGCTGATAGTAATGTGTTAAATCATATTACGTGTATGATTTCTTTATGTAGTGATTATTGAATGTGTGGTTCTTATGACTGGTTAACCTACTGGATAGCAGTTAGAAGATAGTAGGTGTTAAAAAAGATTCTTTCAAATGGCCTATTTAAATGCTTTTACCTGCTGTTTTAAAGGAAAAAGAACAAGAATGTCAATAACAGTGTTAAGTAGTTCATTTATTTTTTAATCATTATTTTATTTTTGATGCTTTGGGAAGACATTAAGCAATTCTATTATTCTTTTTGAACTAAGTAATTTTTACTATTAATAAATAGGACAAAAATAACATTACAACCAGGTCAGATATGTTTTGGACTTTGGAATCTATGATGATAGGAACTGTAAGAGTACCTCATGGGGGGTAGAAACAGCTTATCATCAACAAAAATGCATCTGTATTAGTTACCTTACATAATTGAAGTTATGCATGGTATGAGTGAAAATAAGATTACTACTGTATTATCTTACTTTTCTCTATTTTATCTAATAAAAAACTTCCTGATTATTTTTACTCTCATTATGTCTTTATCTTCTTTTTTTTTTAGAAAGAAGTAAAGTTTTATATACTTCTTCCTATGTCATTGTGTTCCTATCCCTGATAATTGTTAAAAATTATATTAGAATAGGGCTAAAAACTTTACTTCTTAAATTTTAAAATATTGAGCCTATGCTCATCATCATTAACATATTTTAACTTTTTTCCTCTAATAAAGTATTTTACAAAGTGTTCTTTAATATACACAGGTTTAAAAGAAATGGCAATAATGTGTCATATTCTAAACAAATATTTTTGAAATGTAACTAGTATTTATTTTTAAGCTACTTACTAAAAGAAAAGAAGAAATTTACTGGATTAAGTCATTTAACCAAGTAAAAGCCTAGCACAGTTTGTACTTTTAAACCGAAACACTAGAATTTCTGAGAGAACATGTTTATCTTTCTTTATAAAACTTTAACATAATACCCGTTAATAAGGCAATTGAAAGAGGGTTATTATTAAATTTTGCAAGAATCTAGTCACCAAATTAAAGAAACTTAACAATTTTAAAAGTTACTAAGCAAAAAATGCGTATTGGTTTCTCTTGCTTGAGAAAGAGTCCTTTTAATGGTTCATCTGTGTGCTTATTCAGTACTTTAAAAAGTAAAAGGAAGCAGCTTTCCTGAAAGAATATTCCTATGCCTTACAACTGAAACACATCTGATGTTATATGAGGGAAAGTGTTGCAGAAGTATTGGGACACAAAACAAACCTAAGGAGAATTCCAAGGCAAAGTCTCCCTCGCAAGACAGGAAAAAGTCACATTTTTGGAGAAATGACACAACATATCATTTGTCATATTTATATTCCAGTCAATAAGAGAAGAAAGCCTTATGAGAGAGGAATAATCTGATTGGGTTTTAAAAGCTTTGAAATGAATTATTTGTGTCAAGCTAAGTGTAATTTGTTAGACTGTAGTTTTCTTCTAGGGATGCTATTACCTGATCTGTCACTTTCTCATACAAACATAGGCTACTTGTAGCCTGTAAATAGAGAGTGACAGGTAGGAGGAGAAGGGCCCGCTCTCATGCTGTGTCCAGGGCAGCCCTCTGCAGTGTGAGCCACGCTGTTTAAGGGGCCCTTTGACAGGACAAAGAAAAGCCCAGCTCTTCTCAGAACCCAGGCCGTGTCCATTAGCCTGGAGGTCGGGGTCAGGGCGGATGGTTCCTAAATGTGATGTCAGATTTCTTCTCAACATTTTATTTATTGCTAACTAACTACAAAATGTTTCCCCTCTAATTAGCTACTAATTGAGATGTCTGCGAGTAAGGAAATACCCAGTCCTAGAAACATGGGAGAGGGGCATCGGATGATTCCCTGAGTTACTAAGATTTGACTAGAGGTCACAGCTTGTAACCATTAATTAAAATTTGTCATTGAACAAAAATCTTGAACCTCAAGACAACAGGCAGCTTATGGTCTAAGAGTAATTTTTAAGACAATAAACTCAGCTTTTGGAGTTAATTTAATTTGATTTAACTTGTTATATTTATATATTTTGTGAGGGCCCAGTGCCAAATCTTGAATATTTGGCAGAAATTTTTTAACTAAAATCTATTTCAGTTGTATATCTGGGTTTAGATATTTTAAGGTACAGAGAAAACTGTAAATATTTTAAGAACTTCACTAAATCTATGAAAAATGCCCATCTATGCTATATTCTAGAGAAGTATTTTCCCAGTCATGGATTAGGGTTTAGACTTCAGAGGTAGGTGCTTGTTGTCATCAAATCTCTTCATGTAATAAAATGGCTTGAAGTTTCAGTTGACCCTTGGTAGACTGTCTAGAAAACTGTGACACTGTGGCATCTAGTGGCCATGCTTCAGACCAGAGAGAAATAAAAACCACCTGAAATCGAAAAAATATTCACCGGGTGTCCTCTGTTGGCTCCCACCTGTGTTTTATATGATGACAGAACTAAATATAAACATTCTGTGAAGTAAATGTAAATACTACACATAAGGTAAGTTCTCACTAAGTATATTGGATTAAAGTAGCTTGTCTTTGTCTTCTTTGTTATCTTTTTATAAAGTCCTAGTTTTATAAAATACAGCTCTATTCTTGTTTGTTAACAAAACTTTATGAAAAGAAATTTGAATCTATTTCATTTAGAAATAAATATTAGAAACTAATTCTGATAACTGCTTTACTAATTGATAAAAGTTTAGGTTTTCTTTTAAAAAAGTGATGATTTTGAAATATGCTAGCTTTCCTTTCATCCTTATTTATGGCTGTGTAGAGGAAGCCTGCTTAGTCTGCCTTGGCCTTGCTCTTTCAGGTACCTGTCTGACCTTCATGCGCCGGGTGACCCTGCTTGGCAGTGTATTGGAGCCCAACACAGATGGATCCTTCAGCTCATGCACAGCTGCAAGGAGGGCTACATCCAAGATCTGAAAGGCAGGTCCTCTCTCTTCCAGGGCATCATTGCTTCATGTTGTCACTTCAACACAGTTTGGGAACACTTAATGGTTAAAGGAATGATTAATTATTTTTCTTGATATCTGTATCTGTGGGTTTTTTGGGGTTTTTTTTGCCCCTGGTTAGCATTATACCTGAGTAACAGAACAGAAAATTCTTTAAATATGCCTATTGTTATGGTTAACTGGCAATAACTGACAGAGATTGGTTTAGGGGACAAACTTATGTGAGAAGCAACATGCTGTTAGAAATTATATTATTCCTTGATGAATGTTAATAGTCAGTTGTTAATTTTTCATATGTATGTTGAGTCCTGCTATGTACCAGGCTCTATGTTCAGTGCAGATAGATAGTGGTGAATAAAACAGACATGGTTCCTGCCCATGTAGAATTAGATACATAACTAACCAAATACAAAGGTTTGCCAAGTGATATAAAGAAAAATAATGGTATTTGAGGGAGAACTGCAAAGAATGCTTTAGATAGCTGGCTTGGGAAGGGGCCTTGGGGAAGGCTCCATGTTAGCTAAGAGCTGGAAGGATGTGAAGCAGCCTGCTGGGCCCACTGCAGTCTGAAAAGAGGACCAGCCTTTGCAGAGACCTCGAGGTAAGTTTGAAGGAAGAAGTCACACCTGCATTCACAAACATTGAATATTCTGAAGGGTCTGTGCAAGCCATTTTGGGGGGCTAAGGATGCAGTGGTCAGTACGGCAAACAAGAGCCTGGCTCACACAAAGCTTCCAAATAGCAGGAGAGAGGGACAGGGAAAGTGACCAGTAGAATACAGCGTGCTCCTTTCTAAGCCTGGGAAGTTTCAGCTGCCGTAGTAGCACTTAGAAACAGCAGTTGATCCAGACTTTTGAGGTCACAGACGTGATATTCCAAGATCTGAAGAAAATGCTACGTGTTTTGAGATCTGTGTGGTATCTGTATTGGCCAGTTGAAATAGAAGTGGGGAAGAAGAAAGAGATAAAAACCATTTCAGGATGAGAAAGTAAGAGAAGGCTACTGAATTCTGTGTGGCCAGAGCTTAGAGCATGATCAGAGTGGCTAAAGATACACTTTGTTCACTGCTTCAAGGGATTTGGACTTTTTTCAGAAGGGGTTGTGGGAGCATTTAAGGATTCGAAGCAAGGGGAACACCCAGTGAGATTTATTTTTTAAAAGACGACTGTCTTTCTATGTGGTGAATGGATGAGGGGGTGTAAGCCCAGAGCAGGAAGATGGTTAGGAGGCTGCTGTTCAGGCATCAGTCCTAGCCTGCAGGTGGTGGTATGGAGAGGGCTGGATCTGAGAGCTGTTCAGAAACTGGAATCTGACCTCGGCGGCTAGTTAGGATGATGGCACCATTTAGTTAGGGCACCTGGAGGAGAAAAATGATATTTTCCCCCTTTTGTTTGGACATGCAAGTGGAGATAGTCAGTAGGAGTTGAATTTAAAGAGGGAGATATTTGAATATGAACTGTATATAGATGGTTCCTGGGAGCTGATGCTTTCACCCAAAAAATAAAAATAAAAGGAGCAAACTTAAGACAGAATCCTGAGGAGAGATATTGACTGGACTGGTAGAAGAGAAACCTGCAAAAGAGAAGAAGAAGGGGTATTCATAGGCTAGGAGGGTATAGTATCGCCAAAGCAAAGAGGAACGAGTGATCAGCAAGGGTTTCAAAAGAAGAATAAGATAAAGAGGTGTCCTTTAGATTTAGCAGAGGCTGGTGTTGACCTTGGCAAATGCGGTGGCAGTGGCCTGAGATGCCAAATAGATTATATAAAAGAAGGCATAGTGATACCTAATATGGTTTCCAGGAGTAAGTGGTGTAACATGAGAATAGTCCTGGCACAGAATATTTATTTATAGCAGTTTTGTCATGAATTAGAGCACTTTCCAACTATGATGCTGTTCTTTTCTAGTCTTGATTCTTAGGAAAACCCAAGTATCTCTTTTTTTTTTATGCCAAATCAAAATTCCTATTAATGTAATTAATTATGTTGTAGTTTTAGCAAGTGAAAATAATATCAAATGATAGTATTTGAAGGTACTTAGAGGGCCTTATGTATTTGTTTATTGACTCTACTATGTTAGGCAGGCCTCTAAACCTTGACTATTCATCAGATTTCCCTTCATGTTTTTAAAAAATATCAATTCCTGTCCTCCACTCCATTCCTACCAATTATAGTAGAGCCTCTAGCAGTGGAATTTAGATATCAGTATTTTTTAAAGCTTCCAGATGATCCAGGTACAGCAAGGATTGATAATCAGTGTACCAGATGCTATGCAAGGAACTGGAAATACAGTAATGAGCAAGACTGACATGACCTCTGACCTCTTGGACCTTGTAGGCTAGTGGAAGAGATATTTTTTTAAAAAAAATCATGTACGTATTTATTACATAGATATAACTTTGAAAAATGTTACGAAGCCCTGGCCGGTTTGGCTCAGCTGTTAAGAGTGTCGGTCCATGGACCAGAGAGTCCCAGGGTCGGCTCCCGCTAAGGGCATGTACCTCTGTTGCAGTTTGTCCCCAGCCCCGCTTAGGGTCGTGTGGGTGGCAGCCACTTGATATGTCTCTCTCACATCGATGTTTCTCTCTTTAAAAAAAGAGAAAAAAAAAGAAAGTATGAAGTGGGGAGTACAGAATTCTCCTGCAGTGCCGTAAGGAGGAGATCCAAGGAAGTTTTCTCAAGGAGGTGATATTTCCATTGAACCCAAATGACGAATATCAGTTATCCAGATGAAGAGGCATGAGAAGTAGTATAGATACCTAGTAGGTTTTCAAACATTGTCACTTCATTCCCCACTTCACTAAATAGTGATGATGTTCTTCAGATAAAAAACAAGATGCATGGTCTGATCAAGGATTTTCCTTCTTGTGCCTAGAAAAAACTATCTGATGATAATCTGGTTATGAAAATATTTTAATTTCTGGGATGTGTGTATATTATGAGGGCAATGTAGAAACTATTTCAGATTGGAAATCTCATATATCTTATAGTCATATCCATATCTGAAATATCCGATAACCAATATTACACTGCTAGAGGTCTGAATTTTTCTTGAAGATAAATGGAGAGATACTTTTACTGATGGATTCCTTCCATCATCTTGATGTTATGTTTTACTGTATGCATTCATTCAGATCTGCTTAAAATCAGTATTTCTGGGGAAAAAAAAAAATGACAATGGCCTATGTGTAACTGGAGCCCTACTTTTTAAATTCATTCTGACCAAGCTTATTGCAAAACTTGCTCATCACTTGTGAGATAATTAAACTAGTGTACATCAAATGGATCCATTTGTTAGTGACAAGCTTTACCTGAAGTTATTTTCATAAGTTGGTCTTTTGATTAGGAAGTAAAAAGTAATAATCATCCCTTTGAACTTACTCAACAAGTTTCAGGACAAGACAGTGTAAATTTCCTAAATTTATTAGTCAGATGTTTATAGGTTATATTTTAATTTTCCTTGACATTCCAGAGAACATGTTGCCTGTGCCCTCTTTTGTTGTCAGCAGACATTATCAATATAAACAACATGGGTAACCCTAAGATATGGGAGCATTTTAATTGGAATATTGGTGTGCTCTTTTGAGTTCACATCAGAAGGGGTTTTTATTATTTGATTTTGGAGAATTCCAAACATACTTAAAAGCAGAAAGGGTAATATAATAACCTCCCATGTTTCAACAGTTATCAACTCATAGCCAATCTTACCTATACCCTCATTTGTTGTTACCCCTCTCCCTCACCCTGAATTATTTTTGAAGCAAGTCATAGCATTTCATCCATAATTATTTCAGCAGTAATTTTTAAAGATAAAGACATTTTTGAAAAACTGTAACCAAAACATCATTATCATTACTTAAAATATTATCAATGATTTATTTCTTTATATTATCAAATATTCAATTAATTTTCAAATTCAGAAGCAGGTAATATCTTCAGGATCTAAGTATATTAATACCATGGTTTTTTAACTTATATTCAGTGCAAAGGCAACTGATATAAAATCTGGCATAAATATGGACAAGAACATCTTTCCTAGAATGGAAAAATCAGCCTTCTGTAAGACATGGTCCACTTTGGCCACTTTACAGTTAGATCTTTTTCTAGTTGTTGTCATTAATGCATATGTGTGTCATTGGTTACATTTTAGCTATTTAATATACAGTTATCTACATTTGTATAGGTAATATAATTATATAGTATAGGTATATGTATGTATAGGTATATATGCAAATATAAAATATTCATCTTAATTATAAGTTTGCTGGGAATAAGCACAATTTTTCTTTTATATAATCTATTACCAGTTGTTCTTGATGGACTCTTAATTGCTATTTATGAGTGTCCTAATTATGTATAATATAAGTGTAAGATAATATTGGGGGGAAGCTCCTAAATATCATTTGGACTTTCTATTGGACATCCTTTCATAATTATGACCCTTTAGATGTGAAAGAAACCTGGGAAATTGTCTGTTCCCAACAGATGTTCAGTAGGTGACTTTACATCTATTTTGCATTTGAGGAAGGTATCTCAGAGAAGCCAGGTAACAACCCAACTTCTTTATGTCCTGAAAAGTGGCAAAAGTAGTGAGTGGTTCAGATTTCTCCCCATCCCACCAGAGTGCATTCCCTCTGATCAGTGAAGTAGGAGAGCAAGTTCCACCAGACCTCTTTGTTTTCTATTAATGGAGCAAATGTTTCCATCAGATAGCATTTCTGATGGTGAACATGATATGATGACCTTGCCTGCATCTCATCTACCACTTTGTTATGAAGCTTCATTGTTTTGTTTTTGTTTTTGTTTTTGTTTCTTTATTGATTTGAGAGGGAGAGAGGAAGGGAGAGGGAGAGAGAGACAGAAACATTGATGAGAGAGAACACCGATTGGCCGCCTCCTGCATGCCCTCCACTGGGGATTTGGCCCACAACATGAGCATGTGCCCTGACCGGGAATGGAACCAGCGACCTCTTGCTG